CTTGTGGCCTTGAACCTGTGCTCGGAATGTGTGGTGACGTTGTGATCCACCCTGAGCTTGCTTTGCTTTGCTTGACTGGTCTTGTGACCCCTTGTTCTCCCCCACTTTGCCTATGGGGGTGTGTCAGACTTATATGATCTAGCCTGTATAGGCTGTAGCGGGTTAGATACTAAGGGGTACACAATTCTAGGGTTTGACATTTGTATCACACACATTCCTTAGTCAATCACTTTTCCTCGTTTCTCATCAGAAGCTGCAACTGCCACTGAGATCGATGCAAGACTGGTTGACGGCACGCCACTGGCGATACGGGAACGCGTAGACCGGGTTCGGATTCGATGCGGGAGTAACTCACGTTTAGCCAGGAAATGCTCGCGACAACCCTTGACGGAACCGACATTTTACTCGGTCGTGATTGGCTGCGACGACACAATCCGTGAATCGACTGGACGACGGGTGACTGCACCGTGCGATTGAACGGTAACAACATCGCCTTACCTCGCTTGGGCTCGCCTGAGTCTTCGTCGGTGCGTGTCAACGCGATAACGATGAAACGCGCCGTAGCGGCAGGAGCTGACGTGTACGCGGTTGACATTCGGGAAGCCGAGGCAGCAGACAAAAGGGGGGATTTACAGAAACTGCTAGCCGACGTACCGGATGACTTGGCAGCACTCCTGAAGCAGTACAGTGGGATATTTCCGGATGACCTGCCGACGGGACTGCCACCTCAGCAACCGCACGACCACATGATAGAGTTAGAGCCGGGGGCACAGCCGACAGTACATCGACAATTCCGACTGACCCAACCCGAACTGGACGAACTAAGGAAGCAGCTGGATTACCTGCTCGAGAAAGAGTTCATTTGCCCGAGTTCGTCACCCTTCGCAGCCCCGATACTGTTCACACCGAAAAAGGACGGGGATTTTTGCATGTGCATAGACTACAGAGCACTGAACAGGGTTGCCATCAAATCCCGTTACCCCATCCCACGAGCCGACGAACTGATTGACCAACTGCGAACAGCCCGGTTTTTCTCGAAAATCGACCTTCGAGGAGGCTACCACCAGATTCGAGTCAACCCACCCGACTGCCCAAAAACCGCTTTTCGAACGCGCTACGGATCCTTCGAATACACTGTCATGCCTTTCGAACTGACCAACGCCCCCGCCACTTTCCAAATGACCATGAACGAAGCCTTCCGCCCGCTTTTAGATAAGTGCGTCATCGTGTACCTCGACGACATACTGATTTACAGCCCCGACAGAGCACAGCACTTACAGGACATCGAAGCAGTTTTTAAAATACTGAGTGACAACCGCCTACTGACCAAAGCTTCTCAGTGTGAGTTTTTACAGGACAGACCGGAGTTTTTGGGACACATTATTTCAGCTGAAGGAGTGGAAATAGACCCGAAGAAGATCGCGACGATTCAAGCGTGGCACGCACCGACAAACTTGACTGAGTTGCAGAGCTTTTTGGGGTTCGTCAACTACGTGCGCCGGTTCGTCCCCGACATGGCGAAGTTGACTGCCCCGTTGACCGACCTGCTGAGGAAGGGGGTTGAGTACACGTGGAGGGAGAAAGAGCAAGCTGCCTTCTCGGCCCTCAAAACAATTTTGTGCTCGCCGCCCGTGCTTCACATCGCGGATCCGCACCGTCCGTTCGAGCTCGTCACCGACACTAGCGACATCGCTGTGGGAGCAGTACTGTTGCAGGACTTCGGGAACGGCCTCCAGCCAATCGCGTACGAGTCCCGCAAGCTTCACCCGGCAGAACGCAACTACCCGATACACGATCGCGAGATGCTGGCGATCGTGCACGCGTTCAAGGTGTGGCGATGTTACCCCACGGGAGCAGACGTGACAGTACAGACAGACCACCGATCACTACAGTACCTTCGCGCCCAACCGAATCTCAATCCGCGACAGATTCGCTGGTTGGACTATCTGGAGTCCAATTTCCACTACACGGTCACGTACAAAAAAGGCGCATCCAACATCGCCGACGCACTCACACGCCCCACCGCCCAACTCCTTGCCATCCTACTCGCCCAAACCAACCCACTGCTAACAGGCCTATTCACCCACGGATACAGTACCGACCCAGACCGGAAATTCACAACAACTGGCAGAAGCTAAAGGAGTCTACTACGTAAAAACAGGCACCAACCGCATCTGGGTACCTGCGTACTCACTACTGAGGGAACTGTTACTGCAGGAGGCACACGACGGAATTACCTCGGTACATTTTGGGGTAGAAAAAACGCGACAGCAACTGTAGCGGTATTACTACTGGCCGGAGCTGTTGACCGACGTACAGCACCACGTGGGCTCGTGTACTACGTGTCAGGTGATGAAGAGCTCGCGAAAAAGAAAGGCGGGTCAATTGCAGCCGATTCCACCGCCTGAGCGCGCCTGGCAGCAGGTTACCATGGATTTCGTCACGGGGTTACCTTCGAACCCTGGGGGTAACGACGCAGTTATGGTCGTCGTTGACAGGTTGACGAAGATGGCACACTTCGCTGCGTGCAAGAAATCGATCTCAGCCTGCTCGCCTGTTCATCGCAACCGTCGTTCGACTGCACGGGATACCAGCCGCGATAATCAGCGACCGCGACACAAAGTTCACCAGCAACTTCTGGAAGAACTTTTGGGAGCAGTTCGGGACCAGGCTACAGTTCAGCTCGTCGTACCACCCCGAGACCGACGGTCAAACTGAGCGGACGAATCAGACGATGGAGCAGTTGATTCGTGCCACGTGCGACGAACCGACAACTTGGGAGCAGCAGCTGCCACTGATCGAGTTCGCGTACAACAACGCCACGTCAGCGACGACGCAGCAATCCCCGTTCTACCTGAACTACGGGCAAAACCCTACAGTGCCCATGACGCCGAATCCGGACAACCCAACGCCACGTGCACAGCAATTCGCCGAGATTCTGCAAGCTGCCCGCACTAGAGCTGTCGAAGCAATAAAAAAAACAAATGTCATCGCTAAGCGCAACACTAACCGCCACCGCCGCCCAGTCACGTACCAGTCAGGAGATTACGTACTGCTCGACACACAGAACTTAAGACTGCCCGTTGTACCGAAATTACGACCGCGCTACTGTGGACCATTCCAAATTAGCCACATGATCATCCCCGTGGCAGCACACTTACTGTTGCCGACAGACTGGTACATCAGCCCATCATTCCACGTCAGCCTGCTTCGCCCATACATCCCAACCACGAGCCAACTGCCTCGTCACCGCCCGCCATCCATGACTCGCCCTGCATCGGAGCCGATCATCGAGCCAGAAAAAATTCTGAGCCATCGGATTCGACACCCCACGGGAATCAGGAGGATCGAGTTCCTCGTTCGCTGGAAGGACCGCACGCCAACTGAGGATAGCTGGGTGCCCCTGGCCAACATCGAAAACCACCCTGCCCTGCAAGTGTACCTGGGGAGCCGGGGTTTCCGCGATATACACGCACTCGCGTAGCGGAAGGGGCTTCTTGAGGGGGGGGTGGGGGGGGGGGGGTAGTGTAAGGAATTTTCTCGACATTCCTTAGCACATCCTGCAACATCGCGTACAGCAGCAGCCGTTGTTCGCCCGTTACTGCTGACGGGGCTTCGCCGACTTCGCGCGCACTGTTTCACCAAACCATGCACCGCTGGCCCGGCCGTGTCGGCGTACGCTTCGGGACTAGCCCGAGCCTCGATGCCAGCCTAGCACTAGCTAGCTCGCACGCACCGCGTTACCGTTTGCATGTTTCGCGTATAAATGTTTGCTCATGCCTTCGCTCACATTCTGTACTCGTTTGACACTTAGTGCAATCCTCGCTACCTCGATTCATTGCACCCGTAACATATATGATGAAGACTTGCGCTATAGGGGGAATAAGAACTCATAATAGATTGGGAGCAATCAAATTCTGTACATGTACTAGGTTGACAACCCTCGTTATGTAACCCCTCGACAATCACGAAATGTGACTTTCCAACCTCCCTTATTTCCGTAATTTATGCTTCTCGATACAATGGCTGCCACAAGAGGACAACGGAACAACGGTGCCTGGAACTTGAGTTTGGCGGGAAAACCGCTCCCACCAAACCTACCTGCAACGGTAATTCGGAGGAACAGGTGGACACCACCCCTGAATGGCGCGGGCTTTTGAACCACCTTTCCGTTCGGAACTCCTTGCCAAGTGGTTCAGGGCTACCCGAAGCACCTAGAGGAACTCAGACACCAAACCGAACCTCTCACTGCTTCAGCTTTGTGGTTGGTTGCTGCATCCGTGTCGCTTTGTACTGGGCTTGGCAGGCCAAGCCGCCTGCCCCTTCCCTGACAAGGACATATGGGAGCCCTTCCAGGGCTGGCGGGTGTTTCTCACACCAAGCAGCAACTCTGCAAGGCGCGGGCAGGAAGCCTTTGTGGGTTATTGCAAACGGACGTTCCTACGGGCTGGCCACCTGCAAAACTAGCTTCTGTTCTGCCCGAGTTTAGCTTGTGTTCAGAGCAGGCTCTGGTTTAGTTTAGCAAGCCAGCACCTTGGGCTTCCCTCGCAGTTGCCAGGTGCTGCTGCTGCTGATGGTGGCTTGTTTGGGGGTGACAGACCCCTCTCTTGAAAGTCCCTGACGTACTCTTAGCTACAGTGTCTAACTTGAGCTTTGCAGGACTTGACGGCATATTTTTCCTGTCAGACGCGTGGACTTCCACTAAGGAGCTGTGAGAAGAGCTATGCACTAAGACTGACTGCTGAGCTTGACGCTGCTTGCCAAATCAGATTAATTTTGCCAGTTCTCGGTTGTTACTTAGTCACGTCGTTTGTCCAGCTGGCAGAATACCCGGCTGCATTTGTTTACTTACCTCACCAGCGAAAACTAACCTGGTTCCACGAATAATTACATCGGTAGGCTTTCCAGGTAAAAGTTAGTTACCGATTACTAGCGAGATAGATACGATTCTTGTTAGTAAGTAGTTGAAATTATTTTATACCCGACCAAGACATGCGATAATGGCGGATAACCGTCCTTACATGCCAAGCGCGGCAGGCGCGTCAGGAGATCACGATACGCTGACCAGCTATCCCGAGCCTCATGGCAGCGGAGCTCCGCAGAGCAGCGGGGGGTACGAGATAGGCCATTCCAGCGGCATTCCGCGCGACAAGGAGGACGTGCTCAGGACGCTGCCTCCCGTGACTGGGTGAGTGCGGCTTCACATTAGTGCGAGCCCTGACTAGGGTACCGAAGCCAGAGTACAACTGATTGCTTTTCGCACGACCGCTATGTGACAGTTCAGTCCGAGTCGTCGCGGCAAGACCAATCCGTCGTGAATCAGATGCGTGATGCTGGCTTTCGGAAGCACGTCCGTTCACGCTCCCGCCGCTGCTCATTCCTCTGTTCTTCCGTGCTCCCCTCTGCTTCTCCTGCAGCCCTACGGGCGGACCCACCCGCCGGTCGTCAAGAGGTGGTTGGACCGCCGAGGAGGTATGCACCGTCGCAGCCGTACCCTCGCATCCATACCACTTCGATTTCACTAAGCAGTTGGCGTAGGCAGCCTGTACGCTTCGGCCGGGGAAGGCCAGAAACTATTCCGAACGCCATCGAGTCTGCTTCTTCGGCGGTTTCCTTTGTTCCTTACAGCTCATGTTTTTAAGAGAAAAATGCTTCTGAGTCCCGTGACTGTTTCGTGTGCGGGCAAAGTCATCTCATGGCTGGATAATACTGACGCTCGCCTCTTCCCCTTCTCCCTATCTTCCCGTCTTCCTTCGCGTCAGGACGAAATTTTACGGCGAGCAGTGCAATGCTACAAGGGCAAGAACTGGCGTAAAATAGGTGAGCCTTTTTTACGTTTTTGTGATGCTAGCGAAAAGTGTGCTGCTCGCAAAGGTGATAGCGTCGGCTTTGCGTAACATCGTGTTAACGGCTTGCTTTTGCTTTCGCCTGCGATCCGCTCTCCCCGCCCCCACTTGTCCGGCACCAGCGGAGTTCTTCCCCGACCGCACGGACGTGCAGTGCCTGCACCGATGGCAGAAGGTGCTCAACCCCGACCTCGTCAAGGGGCCCTGGACCAAAGAGGTACGCTCTTGGGATCAAGCGGGTGGAGGGCCGGACCAAGCATGTCGGCACGTTGGATCGAGCAGTCAAGGGAAGAGGCAGTTTGTCAAGCTGGGTGGAGCTGGGAGAGCCGTCTCTCAGCGCGCGACGTGTCTCACTTGCGTCGCGCTCGTGCTTCGGTTGGCCAATGCTGCCGATCAAGCCTAAACTCAGATTCGGAAAGACGTTCTACGCAGCAATGTTAGCAACGGCCTGGTACCGAGCAGGTCGTCGAACCTCCTCCAATACTCCTGACTGCTCGTGTCGTGTCTGCCTCGTTTTCCTCTCTTCCAGCCTTGCCCTCGGCGCGGCACTGTGCCACCATTATGACGCTCATCGCTCATCGCGCATCGCTCATCGCTCATCGCTCATCGCTCATCGGCCATCGCTCATCGTTCGTCGCTCATCGCACCGCACCTCATCGCGCGCATGACTCGTGTGTCCGCCGCCTTTTCCGCCCTTTCCCCGTGTCGTGGCAGGAGGACGAGCGCATAACGGAGCTGGTGGCGCAGTACGGCGCCAAGAAGTGGTCGCTCATCGCGCAGCACCTGCCGGGGCGCATCGGCAAGCAGTGTCGCGAGCGGTGGCACAACCACCTGAACCCGGGCATCAAGAAGGAGGCGTGGGGCGAGCACGAGGACGTGCAGCTCATCAAGGCGCACAAGCTCTTCGGCAACAAGTGGGCCGAAATCGCCAAGTTCCTTCCCGGCAGGTGCGTGCGCGGTGTGCGAGTGCGTGCGCTTGCAGTTGGTCGCGAGGGGTATCCGCCGCTCGTCGCGCGCGCGGGAGGCCGGGTGCCTGTCGCGGCTGTGTTTCCTTGCCTTGCAGGTTCGTCGCGCAGTGTTGGTCGAGAGAGCGCATCCAGGCAGCACGGATCCGCGCATCCGTTTGTGCATCCACTCGCCTTGCTGCCTCCATGCAGCCGTGCGTGCTTCCGGTACTCATCTTGTTTGTCCTCCTCCTATCCCCGCTTCGTCCCCTCCCCCTTCGTTCCCCGCGGACCTTTCCGCCTTTCCCCTCGGCCCGGCAGGACGGACAACTCCATCAAGAACCACTGGAACAGCTGCATGAAGAAGCGCGCTGAGCTCTGCACTCTCGCGGACCTCCTCGCGCTCCCGCCGTCACCCGGGCTTCCCGAAATCCCCATCTCCGCGGAAGTGCTGCAGGCCGCGCGCGAGGGGAAGCCGCTTCCGCCCATCGGCGGAGACGGCGCCTGCGGGAGCGGGAGCGGGGGAGAGGAGGAGGAGAATGGAGGGGAGGAGGGTGATGACGATGCGGAAGCGGAGGAGGGGGCGAGAGGGGCCGAGGTTAATGGAAAGGGTAAGGGGAAGGAGCGGGCGGGAGAGAGGGAGAACGGAGGGTCGCAGCAGGGGGAGGAGCAGATGGAAGTGGCGGTGGGCATGCCTGCGCTGCCCCGAGGCCACTTCCAGGGGAACGTTCAGGTGCTTCCGCAGCAGGTGGTGGTGAAGCTAGAGATGATGGAAGAGCAACGTCGGCAGCAACAACGGGAGCAGGAGCAACAGCAACAGCAGCAACACGACCAGCAGCAGCAGCAGCAGCAGCAGCAGTCGCAGAGACCTTGTTCGACTGTCTCTGGCAGTCGTTCTGATGCGTCGTTGTCCCGTCCCTCACCATCCGACGCCATCTTAAACCCCTCTTGCGCGCCTCGCTCCCCCGCCGCCCCCAGCCCGGCTCAGCCTTCCGCCAGCGCGGGTGCCAGCCCCCCCGCGTCCCCGGAGAAACACTCCGCCCCCTCCGCGCGCCTGTCCCTTTCCGGAGCACCTCCTGCCCGCCCCGCCCAAGCGCCAGTGGCGAGCGGCCCCAATCCCATGTCCAGTGGCTCACAGAGAGTGAACGGCGCCCCTCTGCGCGCATGCAGTGCGACTCAGGCGCAGCCCCAGCCCCAGGCGCAGGGGCAGGCGCAGACGCAGGCACAGAGGCAGGGGCAGACGCAGGCACAGGGGCAGGCGCAGGTCCAGCAGATGGCGCCTGGCGTGCACCTGACGAGCGGCCGCTGTCGCGTGGGGCCCACCAGCCGCACCATCACGCTGCTGGGCGGCAGACTGCCGTCCGCTCTGGCGTGCTCTCCCGAAGAGAAAGGGCCCCGCCCTGATGGAGATGAGGATGGCGATGGTGGCAGTGGTGCTGGTGCTGACGTGGCACACGGTGGTGTGGCAATGCAGGGCGTGGGGCAGCAGGGTGCCGTGGTGCAGAGTCAGCAGCAAGCTCAGCCGAACGGTCACTACCAACAGCAGCCACAGCAGCATCAATATCAGTATCAGCAACAACAGCAACCTCAACTGCAGCAACAGCAGCCGCAGCTCCAGCAGCAGCAGCCGCTGTGCTCACGTGAACCTCCGGCATCCAGCAACAATTCCTTTCCGCGCTGCCCGCCTCCCTACAGCGGCCCCGCGCCCCTCTCCATCAATGCATGCGCTCCTCTCAACTCCGCCGCACCCCTCCGCATGCCCTCAGCGCCGCCCCCAGCCATCGCAAATGCGCCCCCCCGCGCCAGCATGCCCCCCAGCAGCACCGCGCCCTCGCATTCCCCCACCAGCTCCGCCCCTCCGCTCGCCCTGGGCTCCGCGCTTTTGTCCTCCGGTGCACCCAGCAGCAGCGCGCAGGGGGGGAGTGCAGAGCCCAGTCTGCTGCGCATTGCGTGCAGCAGACCGCTGAATGCGCCTGGCGGGATGGGTATGACCCGCAGCAGCAGCAGCAGTAGCCAGCCGCAAGCCATGCAGCCGTGGTCACAGCAGGCCCAGCAGCAGCATCAGAACCAGTCAGGGTTTGCAGCCCCCATGGATAGCTCCCGCTATGCTGCTGCCCCGCCATCCGCCCTGATCTCTGGTCGGCCGGCGCTCACTCTGCCTTCACCAGCCGCTCTCTCTGCTGCCCCTCTTCCCCCCCCTGCTGGCGCTCCCCCCGGCGCTGCCCCTGCGTCCTCGTCCTTCCTGCACCTGCCCTCACGCCCCGCTCTCACTCTCCCTCAAGCACGGCCGGCGCCCAGCCAGCAGCAGGCGTACCTGCCTCAGCAGCAAGGCCCCATGCCGCGCACAAGCTCCACGTGCGCGCCACAGCAGCAGCAGCAGCAGCAGCAGCATCAGCAGCGCCAGCAACCGCCGTCACAGCCTATGTATTATCAAAGCCAAGGGCAGCAAGCATTTCAACCACCGCAGCAGCAGCCACGGCAGCAGCAACAACAGCAGCTACTGCAGCAGCAGCAGCAACAGCAGCCACCGCAGCAGCAGCAGCAGCAGCCACTGCAGCAGCAGCAACAGCAGCCACCGCAGCAGCAGCAGCAGTATCAGAACGGGCCAATGCCACCATGGCAGCAGCGGGGCCTCCAGATGCCATCCTGCCCTCCCCCTCCTCCTCCTCCCCGCGCCCCTCCACCACACTCCATCATCGCCCCCTCTTCCTCCGCCTACGCGCCCACACCCGCCCGCTCACCACCACCACCTCCACCAGCTTCGGCTGCCTTCGCTGCCGGCCCCACGCAGCCCCAGTACGGCCAGCAGCCCCGCTGCCGCTGCCCCATGCCCCACCCTGCCTGCACTCCCTGCTGCCCTCCTCCTCCTGCTCCTGCCCCTGCTTCTGGTGCTCGCCCTGCTCTCTCCTTGCCATCGGCCTACTCCACAGGTCCACTGCACGTGCATCAGCAGCAGCAACAGCAACAGCAGCAACAGCAGCAACAGCAGCAGCAGCAGCAGCAGCAGCAACAGCAGCAGCAGCAGCAGCAACAGAAGCAGCAGCAGCAGCAACAACAGCAGCAACAGCAGCAGCATCAACAGCAACAACAGCAGCAGCATCAACAGCAGCAACAGCGACCTGTTCACATGGCACCTCAAACCGCACCGCCAGTCCCAGCACCAGCACCACCAGCAGCAGCTGCAGCAGCAGCAGCAGCCCCATCCCTGTTGTCCGTGCCTCTCATGCCCACTCAGGCACCAGCAGCAGCACCGGTGGCACCAGCGTTATCAGCACCACCAGCACCAGCTTCAACAGCAGCAGCAGCAGGACCACCTCGAGTTGCCCCTGCTGCTAACACTCCCTCTCCGCCCCCTGTTGCTATGCTAGCAGACACCAAACCCCAAATCCTCCCAGTCAGCCGAAACGCTGTAACGGGTGGCAGCAACGCTGTTCCAGGTGGTACCACATTGGCAGGCGACGCTGCAGCACAAGGGCGCGCAGCAAGCCGTGCAGGCGGAGCCTGGGAGTCGAGGGCGGAAGTGAAGGCGGAGAGTGACAGCAGGCGAGGGCGCGAGGGGGCGGAGGAGGAGGAGGCGGCAGCGGTGCAGCGGCTGCTGAGTCTGGACGGGGCGGCAGCAGAGCCGCTGTTCCAAGCAGCGGAGCAGGCAGTGCACGAGTACCATGCGACTCAGGGCTTCCAGGGCAGTCAGGGCGGCCTTGCAGGGGACGCTGGATCCGCGGTGACTGATGCAGGAGCGACTGGCTCCACCACCGCCGCCGCCGCCGCTGCTGCTGCCGCTGCTGCGGATACTCCCACTCCTGCGTCTGCTGCGGCTGTTGCAGCAGCAGCAGCAGCAGTGCCGGGGCTGGTGACGGTGGAGAGGGCAGTGGAGAGGGCGGTGGAAAGGGCGGTGGACGATTCGCTCTTCTACGTGCCGCCGCAGCTGGACCACCTCGATGCTGCGCCCTCCACTGCTGTCTCCTCCGCGCCCCCTCCCCTCGTGCCCCTGCCCCCCCTCTTCGACTCGTTCCTCCTCAGCCCCACCACCGGCCCCGCCCTGCCCGCCTCACCGCAAATCACCGCTCTCAACCTCCCCTCCTCCTCTGCGCAGCCCTTCTCGTCGCCTCTCGGCCTGCGCCAGATGCTGCCTCCCCTGCCGACCACCGGCTGCCAGACCCCCAGGCAGATGCAGCCTGCCCCGTCCACGGCGGGCTGTCAGACGCCAGTGAACGCCATCTTCTCAGGCCTCTCGCCCTTCCTCTCTGGCCGCAGCCCCCCCTCGTGCGCTGCCTCGCTGTCCATGTCGTGCCTGCTGCTCAGTGCTGGCCGCTCCCTGGACGGCCCTCCTTCCATCTTCCGCAAGCGCCGGAGGGTCGTTGACGTCACTGCCAACGCCTCTGCTGCTGCCACGCCTCCACCTGCTTCTCGTGCTGCGGCCGCGGCTGATAGTGCTGCAGCTGTCGCTGATGCTGATGGGGCTACTGTAGGTGGCGGAAAGGGCGGGGAGGAGCGGGGGGAGAAGGGAAAGGAGGGTGGGAGAGAGGCGGAGGGAGTGTTGGAATCGGGCAGGGTGCTGGCTCTGCTGAGGGAGCAGCCCGAGGGGCTGGGCAGTGCACAACGCAGAGCAGGGCCAGCGGGGGCAGAGGAGGCCCCCACTGCAGGCCGGGCTGGCGAAGGTGGTGGCGCTAAGGGGAGTGATGCAGGCGATGGTGGCAGTGACGGGCGTGATAAGGGCGGGCTGCTTCTGCGGATGGGCAATGGTGCTGACAGTAAGGATGGTGGCAGCGAGAATGAGAAGGGGAGTGAGAGTGATGTTAAGGTCGGGAATGAGAAAGGGAGGGGCGGCGAGGGGCTGCGGCGTGATAAATCGGGCGAATGTGGCCTGGATGGCGAGAGCAGCCCCCCGTGCAGGCGGGCAGCTGTGAAGGATGGCCGTGCAACCGACCTGGGGGACAAGGAGAAGGAGCAGAAGGAGGAGGAGGAGGAGGAGGAAGTGGAAGTGGATGAAAAGGAGGGAAAAGAGGAGGGACCGGGAAAGGAGCAGGAGGAGGAGGAGCAGGAGGCGCAGGAGGAGGAGGAGGAGGAGGAGGATCCGGCTGATTTCGCTCTGCCAGCAGCTGCCATTGACGGCGAGGGCGGGGAGGGCGGCGCTCAGTGTGGGCCGGTGACGTGGACGCTGACCCGTGGCAAGAGCGTGAGCCCCGAGGGCAAGAAGCGCGCACGCGAGGGCGAGGAGGATGGGGCGCAGGCAGGGGCGAGGGGAGGAGGCGGCATGGGAGGAGCAAGGGCGGAAGGGAGAGTGTCTCCGAGGAAGCAGCTGAAGCTGGATGGGCAAGTTGCGATGGTGGCTGCTGCTGCTGGCGCTGCTGGTGCTGCTGGTGCTGCTGGCAGTGGGGCCCTGCCCCTGAGCCGTGTGCTGCACTTGGAGCTGGATGCGGCTGCTGACACCCACATGCATGACGCCATGCATGGCAGCAAACCCAGTCATGAGCTCACCACTCCGCACTCAAAGAAGCAGGAGCAGCAGGGTGCATCCTTGAGCAAGCCGCTCTCCTCGTCCTCCACTCTCCCGTCCCCCCCGCTCTGTGTTTCTGCCTCATCCACTCGAGACGCCTCGTCCCCGTCATCCCTCGCGCCCGTACCCTCTGCAGGCACCACCTCTACCGACTCTCCTGCTGCCACTGCGCCTGCGCATGCTGATGCTCCTCAGCCCACATCTGCACCTGCTGCCCCTGCTGCTGCTACAGCAGCACCACCACCATTACCAGCGTCACTAGTAGCTGGTGTCGGGGCAACAGTGGGAGTGGTGGGGCGATCGCGTCTGGGTACAGTTCCTGTGGTGGCCTCCCCTAGAGTGGGTCCGCTGCGGTCAGGAGTGGTGGAGAATGGTGAGAAGGTGGGGGCAACGGAGGAGGGGAGTGCAGGCAGGGAGAAGGAGCGGCAAGAGAGCAAGTGTGTGCAGGGCACTGGTGCGAGCAGTGCAGACAGCAAGCCGTGTGACTCTTCTGACACTGCTGTAGCTGCTGCAGTTAAGGTTGGGACCAAGGCAGGCAGCACCACAGCAGCAGGCTCACACAAGGGTCCGGCCCTGAAGGCACAGACGAGGAGGCTGATCCGCAAGGTGCTGCCTGGGGGAGGCGTTGACTGGCAGGTGGCGGCTGTGGGGCCTGGGCTCGCCAGCCTCAGGGGCATTCTGCAGGCTGCCTCCGGCGCCCCGCCGCCCCTCACAGGAGCCCTGCCCTCGCACATACGCAATGGCACTGCTGGAGGCACAGGGGCAGCAGCAGCAGGAGCAGCAACAGCAGTGGCGGTCCCTGCAGGGCCTTTTGGATCCGGGCGCCTGCTGTCCTCTGCAGCAGCTGCAGCAGCAGCTAAGGCTCGGCCCGCACCGAGGGAGCTTTGCTCGCCGGAGCTGGCAGGTTCAGGTGCGAGCGTGAGCTACTCAGGGTGCTACAGCAGCTGCAGCGGCAGCCAGTCGTGCATGAGCGGGGCACTGTCCCCCTCAGTGACACCAGCGACCTCCCCTCCTGCGGCAGCACTGATGGCCGCCACGAGCACCATGGCCTCTGCCACTGTCACGTCTGCTGCTGCTGCTGCACCGCCTCCGCCCCTGCAGATGCCCTCACCTGCACAGCCCCAACTGCCCCTTGTGCATGGCAAGAGCGGTGGCAGGGCGGGGAGTGCGAGGGTGGCCCTGGCTGCTTCTGGTAGCAGTTGCGAGGGTGCTGCCGGTGGTTGTCCTCGCGATGGTTCTGCTGCCACTGGTGCTGAGTGTGCGTCTGCAGAGGCTGGTGATGCGGCAGTAGCAGAGGTTGGTGAGACTATGGCTGTGGGTACCTCTGGTGCGAGCGATGGCCATCACGCTGCTGCTTCTGCAGCACCTGATGCAGCACCTGATGCAGCACCTGATGAAACACCTGATGCATGTGATGGCGAAGGCAGGGAGGAGGCTGACCCCCGTGGATGCGCAGAGGCAGTGAATGATGTGGTCGAAGTGCCAGAAGAAGGCAAGCCATGCACAGCACCAGTACCAGCGCCACACGACACCTCCACGTCTCCGCCCCGCCCGCTCAAGCGCCCCTTCCCTGCAGCGGACAATGCCGACCCACCAGCTGATTCCAGTGCTGCTGCTTGTGGCTCTGCAGCCGCCGCTGCTGGTGCTGCTGAGGGTGGCGACAGTGGTGGTGGAGCGAATGGCGGAGAGGCAGGCGCAGCAGCAGCAGGAGGAGCAAGAGGAGAGGAGGGTTCAGAGAGGAAGGTGAGGCGGGTGCGACCGCCACTGCACCGGTGCGTGGGCAAGCCACAGCAGCAGGCACAGGCGCAGGGGGAGGGAGAGGGCGAGGGTGGAGAGGTGGAGGGAGAAGCAGCAGGCGGTTGTGCTGGTGTGTTGTCCCCACCCCCTCTACAGCGCGTGGCAGCATTGCGCGCACCAGCAGCAGCAGGGGAGGGGCAGGGGAACAGCAGAGCAGAGGCAGGAGGGGGTAATGGAGGATCTACTGCGGTGGGAGGGGGTGAGGGGGCAGCCGGGTCGGAGGGGCAGTGGGTGCTGCAGGAGGTGGGGGTGGAGGGGTCGCTCTTCTCCCCAACGCCTTCACGTGCAGGCATGGCGGGCATGGCATCCTCACTCGCCTCACCCATGTCGCCCTTCACCGCTCGCTGGCTCTCGGTACGTTGCTCCCCTGCTCAACCCCTCTGCTTCGCACTCATTTCCTCCCTTTCCCCGCCTCCCTTCACTCTCCCTCATCTACTATCCCTCCCATACTTCTACCACGCTGTCCTCCACTGCCCCTGCCTTCTGCCTGGCCCACCGCCTTATCTCATCCATCTTGCCTGTCCCACTGCTCTCCCCGCCCCTGCCTTCTCTCCCGCTCCTTCCAGCCTGTGAGGCCGCAGGCACTGGCATCGCTTGACGTCTTCCGCTGCAGCACGCCCGCGTCGATGCGCAAGGCGGGCTTTGCTCGCTCCCATGCGCACTCTCACGCAAACACGCACGCTCCCATGGTGGATGGTGACGCTGCTGACTGTGACCTGGCAGCGGGCACCGGGCTCAGCAAGACCACATGGGGCGAGCCCATCAGCCCTGCCAGCTACCTGCTGCGCGAGTATCGATGACGTACGCTCACTTGATACTACAGAATATTACATACCGGAGTAATTATATGGGATGGTTATTAGATGTGGTTTAACTTAACCGCATTTAGCCTAATAGTATGACCGTACGTTAGACAGGAACGGAAAGGGACTCACTTTCTTGTTCCGCATACAGGTATGGATTGACGAGTATATCCCAGGAGTACAGTATGTAGTGTATACTTGTGTTGCTCTAACATTTGAATTTCCTTTTGAAGAATAGTACTTCGCAACTGGCTACAAACAATGCGTACAACAATGTACACTGGGCCTCGACCGTTGTTAGCCCGTCACCAGCCACCAGTGTTGCCGGGGCATTTTGTTTTTGGACAAATGTTCCACGCCCTTATTTTGCTTTTTTTGTACTCAGCCACCTCCTTTCCGCGTGCCAGACTATTCATTTAGGGAAAGAGCATAGAGATTGAGGAATGAGATTGACATCTGGTATCGTGTATTGTGTTTCGGGTTTATAATATCGCGTGCATTCCGATTACGGATCACCCGCCTGTGGTGTCCACCTTTCTACTCCCGAGGGCAATAGTCAGCTGCAATGCTCACCCGCACGCTCCGCCTACCCATTCCGCGCGCGCCGCTACCACCGCCTCTCGGGGCTGACCGCTTTGCGCCTGCGCGAGCCGAGGCACGAAGCGCGGAGGGATCGGACGGTGGGAGAAAGAAAGGCGGCCGAGATGGTGGGAGTGGAGAAATTGCGGCGCCGTCTCTGTCCAATCAGCGGACAACACGTGCGAATGGGGGAGAGAACGGCGGAGGGGGGAAGAGCCGGAGTGGCAGAAGGGAGAGCGGAAAGTCGGCGGCGGAGGAAGCGGAGAGCGCTGCTGGCAGCAGCGGGGCCGTGACGGACTCAATGCGGCGCAACGCGCAGGCGACGGCGGACGCGCTGCGCAGCAAGAGCCGGCGCGCCAAGCGATGGCTCGGACAGGTGCGGCGGGGGGAGCAGGGGAGGCGTGGGGGGGAGCAGGCGAGGTGGGAAGCGGGGGAAAGGGCGTGAATGGCGGGAGAGGCAGTGCATGGCGGGTTACAAGCGGAGGCACGCACGCCCTGTTTGGCACAGAGTGGTGTGGCGGGGCCTGACGTCATCACCTTGCAGCTCCCTCACACCCCACTACTGCGCCCCGTGCACTGTGTCCCCCGTGCCCCGTGCACCGTCCCCACGATCCCTCTCTCCTGTCACACCACCTCACTCCCTGCCGCACCCCCTGCCGCACCCCCTTCCTCAACCTCTTCCTCACCCCCAGCCCCACCCGTCACCCACCCCCCCCCACCCCGCCCTTTCCCCCTCCCCCCTCCCCCCTCCCCCCTCCGCCCTCCCCCCGGCAGAGATATCTGGTGCGGGGCAGCATCAGCACAGCCACGGTGGCGGCAGCAAGATGGATTCTGAGTCGACTGAAACACCCTCTGCCAGCCCCATCCCCAACCCCCCCCACCTCCACAACCCCTTCCCCCCAATACCTACCCCCCCACCCCTACCCCCCCCAGCACTATCTGCTGCGGGACGACATCAGCGCAGCCACGGTGGCGGCATCACGATTTGATTCGACTCAAATACCCCAACCCCCCACCCCCACGCCCCTCCTCCTACTCTCCCCTCCCCCAGCACTATCTACTGCGGGACGACATCAGCGTGGCCACGGTGGCGGCAGCGGGCGTGGTGGCGGGTGACGTGGTGGTGGAGGTGGGGCCGGGCACGGGCGCTCTCACTGCCGCGCTCGTGGCTGCTGGGGCGCATGTTATAGCGGTGGAGAAGGTGCGAGGGGAGGAGAAGGGGAGTGAGAGGCGGGGAGGCGGGGAGGCGGGGAGTGAGAGGTAGGGAGAAAGTGGGAGAAGGGGGGGAGAAGCGGATTGTAGGCGCAGTGGTGGCAGTGCTGAATGTTTGCTACCTCCTGTGGGAAGATGCTAAGGGTGCTCATTCCACTCCTTCATCATTCCACTCCTTCATCATTCCACTCCTTCATCATTCCACTCCTTCGTCTCTCCGCTGCTCTTCCCCACCCGTCCCCCCACGGCTGATTCTCTCTCCCTCCTCAACTGCATGTGTTCTCCCTTCCATCGTTCATCTCCCTGCTCATCGTTCATCTCCCTCCCATCGCTGCCCTGTTTTCATTTGCCCTGTCAAGTCGTTTCGCTTCCCCCATGTGTCTCTGACATTCCTCATGCCCATCACATCCACCCACCGCACTGCACCGCACAGGACCCTGACATGGTGCAGCTGGTGCGGGAGCGCTTCGCCCAGTGCCCGCAAGTAGAGGTGCGCACGTCCCTCCCCTCCCCTAACACTCCTTCTCACTGAATGTAACAAACGGTAGAGCACGTGTAAGACAAGGGCGATCAAGCGTATTCACTGCTACGATACGGGCGGGCATGTAAGTGGGGTTACAGACATGGCGGGCTACCCAAGCGACTCTAAGAGCCTACCATACAACCTGTGAGTGCCTATGGGTACTGGGTTCATGTCCAGCGTGGGCTGGCTGGCAGTATTGTGTTCCGTGGGGTGACCGGGCCGTGTGACGCTGCCCTGCACATTGCTACCCACCAATGCCTGGGCTGCTTGCTTGGCGGCCAGAGCTGGAGTGCATGTGTCACGAGGGGGGGAGCTGGGGAGGTCCACTCATCCACCCACCTCAGCCTCACGCCTCGTGACCGACAGCAGGTGACCGGCAGCTATGGGCCTTGCGTCAGCCGCTGGTTGCGGGTAACACGCTTCTACCACCCGATTGGCTTTCGCATGGAGTGCATTTGCCTGGCTTGGCTAAACCCTCCTCCCTTCCCTCCCCTCCCTCCCGTCCCACCCCTCCCTCCCCTCCCACCCCTCCCTCCCACTACTGCTGCCGTTGGTAACGTGGTTCCACTAGCATGTGCCCACCCGCCTGCCCTCCTGCCTGCCTGGGTCAGACAGGGTTGTGTTGGGCTCGCATGTGTCGTGTTGGGCTCGCATGTGTCGTGTTGGGCTCGCATGTGTCGTGGCCAGCTGCTTTATGTGCCTCCCGTTGCCATCGCTCATCCCTTTGGCCTGCACTGCTTGCCCTGTGCTCGTCCCTCTCCTTCCCCACCCTCTTCCTCTCCTCTCGTCTACGTGACGTGTGCCACGCCACGCCACGCCACGCCAGGTGGTGCAAGCGGACATCCTCAAGTGGCCCGTGCACGCTCTCCTGCCTGCTCGCCTGCACCGCCTCACTGGCATGGCAGGGGCGGAGGGAAGGGTAGCACAAGGCGAAGGGGCGTTGGCGAGTGGTGGGGCAGAAGCACGCACGAGTGGGATGGATGGCATGGTGGGCGAACCGCCAGTGCCTCTTGCTGCTGCACGCCCTGCTGCCGCTCCTGTAGCTGGCACTGCGGCGAGCAGAGGCAGCGAGGGGACTGGAGGCAGCAGTGCCGTGCGCGCCAAGGTGGGTGGCGTAGGCTCAAGGCTGGAGCCCATGCGGCTCACATGCTTGCCAAGTTTGGCCCCCGTCGTGGGAGGGTGGAGCTCATCCTCGATTTCCAATCCCACGCTTCAATCGCCTCCTTCCTCCTTCAATGTCACTCGCAACCTTTGGACCACAAAGAGATGTTCACAGCGGGTGAGAAACCAAACTTTTACAAATATATATATCTATATATATATATACATTTTAGATGGGGGGTGCCTCTCGCTGATGTGACTAAACTGAAGGGTAGAATGGCCAAAATGCTGGCCTGTCACGAATCTACAGAGGCTCGCGATGAACCTCTATAAGCCGTTGCGAGGATGGGCTGTGGGCTGTTTGAACAGGAAAGGCCAAACTCAGGCACCTTCAATTGCTTCTACCCACGCATGAGGTCACACCCAGATTACACCCGTTGTCATGCGCAACACACAGTTCCCCTCACTGTGGCACCTTCGATCTCTCCAACCTTTGTCTTTCATTCTATTCCTTCTTCCCTTTCCTTCCTTTCCTTCTGCACACCCCCCCTCCTTTAGTTCGTCCCCCCTCGTTGCCCCCACCACACCCCCTTGCAGTGCCCTCCCTTTGACATCTCCCATCCCACACCGGGCCTGTCCCGAGCGTGGGGGAGCAGGGGGAGGCATCGCGCCATCTGAGACCCTTCACGCCATCTCACATCGCCCCTTCACCACCCGCCTCTCCCCCGAGCGAGTGCATGGCAGGTGGTCACCAACCTGCCTTTCAACATCACCACTGCCTTCCCCTTTAATGCCCCGCCTTACGTGCCTCTCGCCCGTGCGCCTCTCTCCCGTGCGCCTCTCTCCCGTGCGCCTCTCGCCCGTGCGCCTCTCGCCCAGGTGGTGACGAACCTGCCCTTCAACATCACCACGGACTTTCTGCGCCTCTTCCTGCCGCTCGGCCACCTCGTCTCCACCGTCGTCTGCATGCTGCAGGTGAGGTGCGGTGAGGTGAGGTGAGGTGAGGTGAGGTGAGGTGAGGTGCGGTGAGGTGAGGTGAGGTGAGGTGCTGCTAGGCTACGGTGTGATGGCATGGTGTGATGGCATGGTGTGATGGCATGGTGTGATGGCATGGTGTGATGGCATGGTGTGATGGCATGGTGTGATGGCATGGTGTGATGGCATGGTGTGATGGCATGGTGTGATGGCATGGTGTGATGGCATAGTGTGAGGGGTTGCTGCATGTGACAGCTGGGAGGGCGTGGGGTGATGGCATGGTGCGAGGAGGTGCTGTGATGCATGGCTGCAAGCATGACATCCATCTGTGTATGAAATTATCACATCCCCCCAGATCTCTCACCATCCTCCACCACCCCCCACCACTCCCCACCGGGCAGGATGACGCGGCGCAGCGGCTGGTGGATGCAACACCAGCAGCATCGCAGTACCGACCGATGAGTGTGTTCGTGCAGTACTATGCTGGTGAGCTCTCTGCTCTGCCTCTTCTATGAGCGTGTTTGCGCGCTGCCGTGCAGGTGAGGTGCCGTGCAGGTGAGGTGCCATGCAGGTGAGCACTCGGCTCTGCCTGAGCAAGCAGCACCATGTCACTGCTTCCTCATCTCTTACTCTGCACCCTTTATTCTCAATTCCGTCCCCATCTCTCACTTCCCTCTCCCCATCTCTCACTTCCCTCTCCCCATCTCTCACTTCCCTCTCCCCATCTCTCACTTCCCTCTCCCCATCTCTCACTCATCTCTCCCCATCTCTCACTCCCCTCTCCCCACCTCTCACTCCCCTCTCCCCATCTCTCACTCCCCTCTCCCCACCTCTCACTCCCCTCTCCCCACCTCTCACTCCTCTCTCCCCATCTCTCACTCCCCTCTCCCCATCTCTCACTCCCCTCTCGCCCCATCGCTCACTCTCCCCCACCGGTGCATCACCGGCCCCCATCAGACCCCACCTATCAGTTCTTCGTCAGTCGCCGCAGCTTCCTACCGCCCGCCAATGTATGTTCCAAGGGCCATTCCCCATGATCCATGCCCGACGCCTCATGCCTCATGCTGTATGCCTCCCATACCCCATGTCACATGCACAATGTCACATGCACAATGTCATATGCACAATGTCACATGCACAATGTCATATGCAAAATGTCATATGCACAATGTCACATGCACAATGTCACATGCACAATGTCACATGCACAATGTCACATGCACAATGTCACATGCACAATGTCACATGCACAATGTCACATGCACAATGTCACATGCACAATGTCTCATGCACAATGTCACATGCACAATGTCTCATCCACAATGTCACATGCACAATGTCACATGCACAATGTCACATGCACAATGTCACATGCACAATGTCACATGCACAATGTCACATGCACAATGTCAGATGCACAATGTCACATGCACAATGTCACATGCACAATGTCACATGCACAATGTCACATGCACAATGTCATATGCACAATGTCACATGCACAATGTCACGTGCACAATGTCATATGTCACATGCACAATGTCACATGCACAATGTCACATGCACAATGTCACATGCACAATGTCATATGCACAATGTCACATGCACAATGTCACATGCACAATGTCATATGCACAATGTCACATGCACAATGTCACATGCACAATGTCACATGCACAATGTCATATGCACAATGTCATATGCACAATGTCATATCATATGCACAATGTCATATGCACAATGTCACATGCACAATGTCACATGCACAATGTCACATGCACAATGTCACATGCACAATGTCACATGCACAATGTCACATGCACAATGTCATATGCACAATGTCACATGCACAATGTCACATGCACAATGTCACATGCACAATGTCACATGCACAATGTCACATGCACAATGTCACATGCACAATGTCACATGCACAATGTCACATGCACAATGTCATATGCACAATGTCATATGCACAATGTCACATGCACAATGTCACATGCACAATGTCACATGCACAATGTCACATGCACAATGTCATATGCACAATGTCATATGCACAATGTCATATGCACAATGTCATATGCACAATGTTATATGCACAATGTCATATGCACAATGTCATATGCACAATGTCACATGCACAATGTCACATGCACAATGTCATATGCACAATGTCATATGCACAATGTCATATGCACAATGTCACATGCACAATGTCACATGCACAATGTCACATGCACAATGTCACATGCACAATGTCACATGCACAATGTCACATGCACAATGTCACATGCACAATGTCACATGCACAATGTCACATGCACAATGTCACATGCACAATGTCATATGCACAATGTCATATGCACAATGTCATATGCACAATGTCACATGCACAATGTCACATGCACAATGTCACATGCACAATGTCATATGCACAATGTCATATGCACAATGTCATATGCACAATGTCATATGCACAATGTCACATGCACAATGTCATATGCACAATGTCATATGCACAATGTCATATGCACAATGTCATACGCACAATGTCATATGCACAATATCACCCTGTGCGTCTTACAACTTTGCCAACGTCCATCTCCGTTTCTGGTCTTGGCGCCATGTCTTGTTGTAAGAATCTCAAGTGGGGTCTCTCTGTGAGCATCTCATGTCCCGTGTCTCTCCCATGGAGCAGGTTGATGCAGCAGTCGTGTCATTCGCCCTCAAGCCGCCAATGGAACGAGTCCACGTGGCGTCGCCCACCCAGTTCTTCCACATGGTAAGCACGCAGACGCTCCTCACAACATCGTGTCATGCATTCTCGTTAGCCTGCCGCTTGATGCATTTGCGGGTACCCGCGCAATGTGCGCTTCGGCACAACATTGTACGCGCTATGATTAGTGCAAGCAGAAAGGACGAGCTCGCAAAGGAACCCAAGATGGAAGCTTTGCAGTTCGGTTGAATTGGTTGCGCAGATTCAGTTCTATCCAACTCGAAATTGTACTGTTTTGTTTGGTTAACTATAGTGTAGCAAGGCAGGCACTACAGGGGTACAATTTAGGTGAAGGTTGGATGTTGTTTGTCTGTATCTGCATGCTACAGGGAAGGGAAACCAGCGGAACCAGCATTTGGCTGGTTGGGCAAAGACAAAGCAGGTTCTGTTTTTTAGGACCTGAACCTGGTTGTTGTTTTCCCAGGTTGGAAAAACAGAACCAGAGGTTGTTTACCAACCTACCACCTGCTGTTTTGTCCAGCCAGGTCGGTTCTGTTGCTTGGAATTATTTGGGATCATCCCTGGTTGTTCCCAGGTTGATTCCCAAGGTCCTTGCTAGCTAGAACTACTTATTCCTTCTCTGTTTGAACCTGGACATAGTGAAATTGATTCAAGAAAATTCCTTCCTTGCTAGAATTTCGTTTCTACGCGGTACGACGGCAGAATGCTACCGAGTCAACGCTAGCACGCTAGCACTACGACGCTAGGCAAACGCTGTCCGGGCCATAACTTTGTAATGACAGAACTTTTCGCGAGGCAACTTGGCTCATTTTAAAGCTCTTGGAGCGAGATTCGATATAGCAAATTCTCAGCTTAATCCGATCGACGGTCTGCACGATACGCTGCGCGACGTTCAATGTACTCTTGCTGTTTTGACTAAGTCCCTCTTGATCCCTCTCTTTACAAACTCGGACCCGAGGATAGGGGCTGGTCTTGTATCAAGCACCCAGGGACCCTTGGAGGTGACCCCGAGGAGAGGTTTTAAGTTGGATAACGTCTTAATAGTTTGAGTTTATTAGGCTCTTACACCAACAAGTTGGTATCAGAGCTGCGTTATAGTGATTCTCGTTATAGGTAGCTATGGCGGGCAACACCTCGACGGGAGCTGGTGAATCTTCAGCCCAAGATTGTAGCGGCAGCCAAGATTCTGGTGTTTCAGCGCCAAGGGGAGCGCGAACAAACCAGGGCTCGCTGGTCAAGGAGGTGCTGAATAACTTCACCGTCGAGAAGTTCAATGGTGAGGGCTATGATGATTGGGCCTGGAAAATACAACAGTATTTCCGTCAGATTGGATTGCTGAAACTAATGATTGGGGAGGAGCCTAGACCGAGTGACCCTACGCTGCAGGAAGATTGGGAAGAGCGCTCCTCGGCTGGTTACTATTTGATGTCGCAGAGTTTTGGAGCTGATCCAGCGTCACCACGTCATGCACCTGCTGCCGGAGATTGAGTGCGGTCCGAAGGCGTGGACCGTGTTGAAGGAGCTGCACGCCCCGACCTCCGTTGTCGCAACGTTGATGCTGAAGAGGGAGCTGTCCGCGTTGCGCCTGTGCTAGTGAGAGCCGGTGCAACCTGTCCTGGACAAGATGCGCGACCTCTACGCGAAGTTGGCGACCGCGGGAATCACCTACCCGGAGCAGACCAAGTGCTTGAAGATGCTCTTTTTGCTGCCGGAATCGTGGCTTCAATTCACGAGCGGATTGAGCCTGCCGCAGAACCAGAGCTCGTGGACACTCGAGTGGGTGCGGACGAAGATTCTGGAGGAGCACTTCCGTCGCCGCCAACTGAGGGATGGAGACGACGATAGCAGCGGCTATGGGATGCAAGGGAGCCGACGTGGCAGAGGACGAGGCTTCGGTGGTGCCGGGCGCGGTGCAAAGAAGGACGACGACTCCAACGACCAACAAGGAGGTACCGGTTGGGGTCGCAGTGCGAAATCTGGACGTGGGGCCAAGTCGGGTGCTGGTGGCAAAATGAAAGGGAGTTGCTGGTATTGTGAGAAGGAGGGGCACCCCTGGTTTTTGTGCTATAAGAAACCCGATGGATGGACCCCCCAGAATCGTCACCAGGATGGCGGCGCGCGGAGGAACTAGAAAAACGGCGCGAGCATGGTCGCCGATTCGTCCGACAACAACCCGAAGAGCAACGGCGGTGCGGAGAAGAAGAAGGAGCGCACCGCGGGCCAGTTCTTCCATATTGGAGAGCAGGGGAACCAAGGAGACGCCTCTGCCAAGGTTGGAGCAGAGCTGCACCCCCTGAACTATTGGGTGTTGGACACGGGCGCTGCTTGGACGATGACGCCGCGCAAGGACCTGCTGGACGACGTACGCGCTGCACCGATCAACGAGGTGTGCTCTGCCTCTGGACACGCGCTGAAGGTGGCTGGTGCGGGACGAGCTGCGTTTAAGGGAGCGGATGGCAAGCCGGTGGTGCTGCACGACGTTCTCCTTGTTCCTGATCTCAAGGCCAACCTCATCTCCCTCCGTAAGCTTGGCAAGGCTGGGGTGAGCACTAGCACGGATGGGTCATGCACGTACAAAGGGCAGCTGGGGAAATCGGGTGCTTTGGGATCTGCACGAGAGCAGAGACGTGTACAGATCCATGTGGCAGCTGCCGGCATTGGCGTGGCACGGTGAGGGGCAGGCTGGAGAGGGGTCTGCATCCCAGGGGGAGTGCAACGCTGTTAGAGCAGTTGGTGTGAAAGTGTCGGCCTGATCTGGGGAGACGGATTAGGCAACGGCACACCGACGCTTGGGGCATGTAGCAATGCCTTTGCTGAAGCAGCTGGAGAAGGATGGGGTTGTCAAGGGTCTGAAGCTGAATGGCCAGCCACCTGATGATAACTGTGAAATCTGCTTACTATCCAAATTTACCCATTTCCCCTTCCATAGTGTGACTGGCAGGAGCAAGAAGCCTTTAGAGTTGGTTCACATGGACTTGGTGGGGCCGCTGCCGGTTCAAGGGCATAAGGGGGAGCGGTACTTCCTGACCATAGTGGATGATTGGAGCAGACTGATGTGGGCGTACCCGCTGAAGCAGAAGGACCAGGCCGCCTCCACGATACGGGATGATTGGCTGCCGTTCGTGGAGAAGCAAGCGGAGTGTGTAGTGAAACGGATCAGGACAGATCGGGGTGGTGAGTTCCTTGGAGCTGAGATGACGGCCTGGCTTAAGAAGCAGGGCATCCAGAGGGAGCTGACCACGGCTTACACCCCACAGTCTAACGGTGTAGCAGAACGGGCGAACCGGACAATTCTGGAGACAGCTAGGGCGCTGCTCATAGAATCTGGGCTGGGCAACTTGATGTGGCCCCATGCTGTCTGGCACGCTACCGTGGCTAGGAACAGGGTGCTCACTAAGGTTGGTGATGACTCGTGGGTGCCGTTGGAGAGGTGGCTTGGGAGGAAGCCGCCTGTGGACATGCTGAGGGTGTTCGGTTGCATGGCAGTCGCCCACGTCCCCAAAGTCCACCGAAGTAAGTTGGGGGCAAGTGCAATCTGGTGTGTGCATTTGGGATTGGCTGCTGAGAGCAAGGGATGGCTGCTGTGGGAACCATGCAAGAGTGTGTTCTTTGACAGCAGGGATGTGAAGTTTGTTGAGGGCATGATGTATGGGAGCTGCGAGAAATAGCCGGAGGCTAAGGTGTCCCAGCAGATGGAGCAGATCACCATGCAGCTGGACCTGACTCCTAGTGTGTGGGAGGAGGGAGAGGAGGCAGCTGCAGAGGATGGTGATAGAGAGAAGGTGCAGGAGGCACCTGCAGGTGAAAACAATGGTGTGGAGACTAGCGGTAGCACTAGTGGAGATGCTGGATCCGAGGGAAGAGGGCAGCAGCAGGGAAAAACTAAGAAGCCGAAGGGTGTCGTTATGAGGGGATGGGAGACACCCGTCTCTAGGCCAGGACGTACCCGTGTGGCTACTAAGAAGCTGACTGCAGGATCAGGTGTAGCGGAGCAGCAGCTTGGGACCGAGGAGGCATTGCTGATTCTACCGCATGGCTATGACCCGGATGAGGAGGATGAACCTGCCTACTGTTTTCTTGCCCCTGCACCAGAGGAACCAGCTAGCATGGAGGAGGCATTAGCTGGATCAGATAAGGAGAAGTGGCTGGTTTCTAGGGATGCTGAGTACCAGAGCCTGCTAGAGAATGGGACATGGGATCTGGTGGTGCTGCCCGAGGGGAAGAAAGCCGTACAGTGCAAGTGGGTGCTAAGGATCAAGACCGATGACAACGGACAGGTCACCATCTACAAGAGTAGGCTGGTGGTTAAGGGGTTTATGCAGAAGGAGAAGCAGGACTTCAATGAGATCTTTGCTCCCACTGCCAAACCCCCTACCCTCCGTGTCTTGTTGGCAGATGCAGCCGTTAGTGGGAAATTCATCATTCAGATGGATATATCAACGGCATTCCTCAATGGGATTTTAGAGGAGGATGTGTACATGACGCAGCCGCCTGGGTACGAGGATGGTACGGGCAGGGAGTGCAAGCTGAAAAAGTCCATCTACGGCTTAAAGCAGGCGCCACGCTGCTGGTACCAGAAGTTGGCAGCTGTTTTAGAGGAGATGGGATTCAGGACCAGCAGCTGTGATGAGAGCCTCTTTCTCAAGGGGGAGGGAGAGAAGCTGGTGATGTTTCTGGTCTACGTGGACGACATTCTTCTCTTTAGCAGCAGCATGAAGGAGATCCAGAATGTGCAGCAGCAGCTGATGGAGAACTTCAAGTGCAAGAACCTTGGGGAGGTAAAGTACTACCTCAGGATGCACGTGGAGAGGGATCCAGATCACAGGTGGTTGAAGCTGCACCAGGAGAAGTTCATCAAGGAGCCGCGGGAGAAGTATGGGGTTGAAAATGAGCGCAAAGTTGCAACTCCCCTGCCAGCAGAATTCAAGCTTGTGAAGGCTGCAGAGGATGAAGGGGTTGAAGCCGAGGAGCAGCAGCAATTTCAGTCCTTGGTGGGCAGCCTCTTGTATGCAGCGGTTCACACAAGGCCCGACATCTCTTTCTCTGTTG